CTAATTGCGTGACTCAAAAAAAAAAAAAAAAAGTGAAAGCTCAGCGACAGCTCGTAATCGAGAAACTATTATATTGGTACCGGCGGATGCTCTACGTGGAATATTGCGTTGTGTTCAAGCCTGTGCGAAATACGCAGAAAACATTGACGCTACGAGTACCGAATACAGCCAGACTGAATAAAAACGACACAACGAGAACGATGACGAATAGCGTACGTTGAAAATTTAATTGGTCCGCGCGCAATCCTGTCTGCGATAACTCAAAAATTGACGCAATTTACTGCCCCGTCCTTTCTCTTCTTTTCGTCAGATTGACGCTTCTTTACTATATGTATTTGAATCGGATCGATAGGGATCCATCGTTCTCTGTTCTTTGTTTTCAACAATACGTTTCGTAGACAGTGTCAAACACTTTAAACATGCACATATTTGGTCTCTTTCACGAACCTTATCAAAGGCATGTTACTTCTATTTGAATTTTAATAAACTGCTGGCTTCGCAAACACGTCACATACTGCAATGTGTGCCAAAAAGTTGCAAGAATACAGCGAATATTTCACGGGCAATGAAAAAGACGAAATGCACGTAGTATGGCTCGCCTATAACGGCTTCTTATATTTTTAAACGAACATACTAATATTTCATTTCTTGCGTATCTGATGTATTATACGTGCAGAACTGTATGTATACGTAATTATTCGGAACAGCGGCAGCTTCATTGATTTCTTGAGACATCATCGGAGGCAACTTTTAGACATGATTCTAAGCAACTTTTCTCTATATATGTGTTATACCGTCATTTCGGCTTTAGTTTCCGAGATTAAATTATTCCGAGAATAAAAATATTTTTAATTCCACGCGAGAGATGGTTAAGCACGACTAAGCTGTAACATGTCTGTGTTATAAATTAATGTAACATAGCCGCGTTGAGATGAGTTAAGACCCGTAGTTTAGATTAGTTTAGTTGAGAATTAGGTTGAATCCGACGTTTTATCTTGAAGAGTGACTGACGCAGTGAGTTGACGAGAGTGGCTTGAGATTACATTTTATAGGAAAATCTGAAACTGTTTGCAGCCAATCAGATTCGACTGTTGTAATAAAGTATAGGTGTTTGAACAAAAAAGGCGAATTTCGTTCTGTTTGTCGAACCAATCTGCCAAAGCACCATCAGTTCGGTACTACTGTCATGTAAAACATTGTAGAACATGCAGTCCATCTAAACACTTTCATGAACTTTCCCACGAGGCTTTCGTACTTACACACCGAATCTAGAATACTCCAAATGGTCGGATTAAATACTCAGCGTAAAAGAACAAAAGACCTGCCATTCTGAAGCATTCTGTATAAAATCATAGAACTAATAATTACATAGAGTAAATACTAATCGTCGAATAGACTAATTTCATGTTCGTTAGAAAGCATACATTTTTAGATGCAACATACCGCCAAAAGGAGAAATATTAATTCCATAACTAAGGGATGAAAAGAGGGATACTACTTTAAAAACTGAAAATAGAATCGTCGCAAGATACTTCATATAATGCATGTGTTACCTCTCAATAATTTTCGTTGCTTTCTATTTTCGCCAAGTTGGCAATTGGAAAACTTCTCATTCTTTTACCAGCCAGATTCGAAAATTATTAATCGAAACGTTCTTGGATCCACGGATTTAGAACGCTATACATTATGTCCAAAGATATTACCGTTTGAACGCATTCGATTATAATGTCAGTCAAACATAATTACAGAATATGTACATTGCTACAATTGCACTCCTCAACCAACCAGTCATCTTTATGTAAAATTTAAAGTCTTCAGAGTACCTTTAAGTAGATCAAAAGTGATAGATACATTCAATCGAGTAATATCGTGAAAGCATGCAATTGTTGAATTGTTTCCCCTATGTTTTACACAAGACAGTCATTACTGTATTTGCAAAGCATATCTGAAAAATAGCCGAACTTTGTAAGAATAATAAAAAACAACAGGTCATTTTTTGCGAAAAAAATGTATTATTTTATTTGAAATACATTTCTTCTGCAGCGATACAACAATTTGCACAATCAACTGATGCATCAAATGACATTTTCATATCTATGGAATACCGTTGAGAATAGTTGTCACAGTCTTTTAAATGTCTGATGTCTTGTCAAAACATTTTTCTTTCTTACTTTTCTTTCAGTCCTTGACAAATTCGCAGTGGCGATAATTGTTTCTTTTTTTCTATTGCAATTTGTACGAACCGTTTTGTATAAATCAATATTCTTCAGAAACACAGCAACAACTTGTCGCAAATCGTTCATTTATACCAAGCCTTAGAAATAAAAAGTAATCGCAATGAGTCAAATTACGAATACGAAATGACGAATACGATAAATGGTATAACATTTTAATTTGTAGTTTTATTTAATGCAGACGAGTGGCAAACCGACGATTCTTTTGAAAGAACAGAAATATAAAATTATATATATTTCCTTTTGTATCTCTAATCTTTCATGAACCAGTCGTCTGCATCAGGCAATCAAATATAATAATGTACGTTATCATATGACAATAAATTGTAACAGAACGCAAACAGTTCCAAATTCACGACAACACAGAATGTCGTTTGTTTTGATAACCTTAATTCATTTTTCAATAATCGTGCAGAAGATTGATTGAATTTTCATTGCTTTTCTTAATGTTTTCTTCAATGTTTTTTTCATCGATCTGGTCAATTGTGATCGTTAATATCTTTTTAATCAGCCGTGGTACCAATTGTAAACTCTCTGTACGCGGTAAACAATTATCATTATACTTTTTACATCACTTTATACATTTCGGTGAAGTATTTTCAACTTGAAGGATTTAAACTCTACTCCAAATAAATTGGAATAAAGAAAACCATGAATTTTTCTCTTTGTAAGAAGTTCGGTTTATTTTCGAGACAGGCCTTGTATCGCATTTTCCTTATTTATAATTTGTTTGTGAACTTACGTTATTATCTCGATAGCGTTATCGATTAATATAAAATTATGTTACCTTCAAGGATTGTAATTGTAATTTCTTTTTCTCCGGTGAAATAAATTTTAATTGAAGTTAATTTGTTCCAGAAACTGGATAACTCTTGCGCGAGCAGTATATTCAAAGTAAAATATTAATACAAAATTTTATCGGCACTATTTAATTACAGAACTTTGTAAAGTTATAATTAGTAAATAGTATAATTATACTGAACGACATGAACACTTAATTCATTCATTTTTCTTCAGGAACGGTGTACGTAATTTAATGATACTCATCATCAAAGAAAATGTGGATATGAAGAGCAATATGAAATTAGTGAAATATACAATAGGAAGAAGCTACATCTACAACAAAATTATTAAAAGAGAAAGATAGAGCACATCACGAGCACTATAATCGTTTCTCTTTCGCACGAGGATAATTTTATCCTCAGTCTTGATCGTCTTTTAACATCTACATACACATTTGATCGCAGATAAATTATTTTCTTTTCCTCTCGTTCCTTTGCACTTTGTCACGCAACTTGCCTAGAAACGTTGTTCCAAGCTAGCATTTGCGTCGATGAAGGTGGCAGTGTTAGATTGCCAGCAAGACAAAACTGCTTTCCCAGGACTAACTTTACTTTGTTCATCAGTCGCGTGCACCGTGATGTTTGCGCTAGCAGAAACGTACATTTTCCACGAATATGCATACGATATCCGTTTACTCGACGGATTTATAGCAAAATCGTAAGTAACGTCGCCATAAGATTTAACGATTTTGCTTCGCGCTCGGCAGATTTACGTAGCGTAATCGCAGGTATCGGGGAGAGATTCCTCGTAGAACTATAATCGGCGAAATGTCAATTATTCAGCACGTTGCGGCGTCGCAGGGGATAAGCATTTTGATTAAATGGAATTATTTAGGATTATTATTTCTCACTGGGCAACGGTAAAAACAGAGGCAAGCAGATTATAACGTTGCGCTGGGTCATTTTGCAAATCCACAACGAATACTCGAAGAATAGTAGAGCAGCAACTGCACTCTTGGAATTATCCTATTACGTGTGCACGCTTGCCGGGATGGGAGCACTCCCACACCTCTTCTTCGAGGAAATTGCAAACTTTCTCAAACACCTCTAACTCTGTCCTCCGCTGCTCCTCGAGCATTCTCTCATTTTCTGTCTCAGTACGCCACTCTTCCGGTACCTTTCGTGTTATCTCCAAAGAAAGTTGGGTAAAGCCGAGGCTTCGCAACGGAGACGTTCCATCGTCTCTTTTATTTCTTTCTCTCCTCCTTGTTGCGCTTGCGCTTCTGCTGCACACAGCGTATATATACATACTTGTTTCTATAAAGAGCTTACTGCTCGGTTCTGATGCAACGAATCTTACGGTGGATCACGATCCCCGAATTTCATTTGCCGAGACGTTGGTGAAGCAACGAGTCATTTCGCCACATCCTCTCCTCTCATCGCGATCTTTATATTCCGTTCCAAAATTCTGCAGAATTCGGCAAAATTCTCCGTTACGCCGTGATCAGCAGTCGACGAGTTACACCATTGTTCCGCAGGAAATCGCGAAACAACGTGTCCGTGTGCTCGATGCCTGCTAAAGCGAAGACAAGAAGACGTTAAAATTGTGAAATTCGATGCCCCATTAAAAATAGACGTATTAAACGTCCGGATATCATGGAAGCGCAATTAATACGATCCATTTGTTACGCTGAAATTGATTGCTAAATTGTCGGACCGCAATGGTGTCGGTGTGTGTCGGCACATTCTCTCGTTATTTGTCGCCTCAGCGTATATTCATTACCAAGATCGATACGTTCGCTCGCGTCAAACGAGCGTAGCTGAAACAATTTTACCGACAGTGTAATC